ACACATCTGATCTGCAGTAAAAATGCTGTCTATTTTTAAGAATACATGGAGGCAGTAAGCCTCATCTTTTAATACTAAAGTACATGCTAGTTAAAGACCAATCTATTGCCATTATTTCATCCGTTTCAGTTGCTTTTAGGCTATATGTGTAATGCCAATGTATTTTAAAATGCTTTTTTTAAGTACTCTTTTTATTGTAGAGTGACTGTGAAATGCTAATGTGAACGACTGAGGAAATTCTGGTAACAAAAAGCAAAATTGCAAGCCTTTTATTAAAGAAAATTCCCTACCACTGCCTTTGGTTGCTATTTCACCACTTTTCCATGTGGAAATGGATAGCACTTGCATAACAGAGTAATAATTTTCCTTTGTTAAGCTGTTTTGCTTTATAATAACTTGTGCTTTGATTGCATTTGATTAGGTTAAGACATATTTAGAAAGACTTGGCTGCTGGGTAATGCCATCTCCATGAAAGAAACAGTTTGTAAAAACCTGAGAAGTCAAGGATATTTGGAACAGGATGGGAAGATTAAGTTTTATAAAAGCACTCTTACTGTCTCCATTCCCTATGTAATTACAACTAGCCTTAGTTTATACCAGCTAGATGTTTCACAATCACATCCATCTCAGTCAGGAGATGGACAAAATTTTCAGAGTCTAGTGTACTTTCTTCTAATTTTCAGCTGTGTACTATGTTGAGAAAGTAGACCAGAGCTGAGCAAGGTGTCAGAGTTGTCCAGGGTTCAGAACTCCAGAAACATTCCCACCAATTTCAAACCCCTATCACTGCCATTGGTGGTTCAGTGTGGGATCCCTGGACTCGCCACCTCCATCCACCTCTGTCGGCAGCAGCAGGAGGTACTGCCTCCTCCCTAGGCTGCCTGGATTTTCCTTCCTGTAGGTAGATTTTCTTTCAAAAACAAGAAACTCCCAGAACCCTTGTTACTTGGCCAAGAATAAGCCTTTCTTAAACATCCCATAGAACGCTTGTTCCCCAGAATTAAAATTTACAGGTTGCAATTAACATTGGGGAATAAGGGAAGAACTAATTTGGACTTGTATTTTGAAATTTGCTCTGACATCTTGTAATGTAGTTTCTGATTCTTTTAGTTACTATGTATAACTTGGAGGTGTCAAACAGAAAATTTTTGTTTTCCTTCACTGATGGTATCATGGACTGTAAAAGCTAAACACCCTTCCTGTTGTAAAAATACTCTATTTATTGCCACTGAAACATGCTTTTCTATAGCTGTGTGTGTTTTAAGTAAATTTCTGTTAAATTACATACAAGGTTTACATTTGTGTATTCACTTGACCGTACATCACAAGGTTGGAAAATTGACAGCTATTTTTTTAATCTTGATTTTATGCTAAGAGATCTAGGTCTGTTTTAAGTTGCATAAGAAGTTTGAATTGCATAGGTAATTTGAGTTTGGAGTTCTCAACACTTATAATTTGCTTATAAAGTATATATGTGTAATAATGGAACATGGCATAATATTCTAGAGTGAAACTCAGTGAGATGCACTCAGAGGCTCACCTTGAAGATAGTAGGGAAACTGATGTTGACAAAAGACCATTTAATATTGTACAGAAGTAGTGTTTTCTTGGCCCTATTGAAAACATCTTCAGAAAGGTTGCTTATATTTTTTTCTTCCTAGAAAGAACTTTCCTAGAAGTAAACATTTTGCTAACAATTATTAGGTGATAAAGGGGAAACTGTACTCTCTTCCCTTAGGAGGGCAAACAGAACTTGGATAACAATGCACTCAAGTAGTTTTAAAAAGTGGATGATGCATGGACTATGCTTTTTAACATTTTAAGTAAAATTTTTTGGAAGTCAGCATTGCTTTCATGACAGTTCTAAAGAGTTTCAGAATTTGTTTGGTCAGGTGTATTTATTTGGAGCAGAAATGACTGGAAAACTCTGGATCACAGCACTGCATGTAGAGAATTTCACCATGATTGTTGTGTTTGGGCTTTGAAGTAACAATATTTTGTTGCAATTGCTTGGCTGACTCCATTGGAAATAAATTTGTTGTCTTGCTTTCCTTGGAAAAGCATGTTAAAAGCTTATGCTGCTTCCTGTTGGAAAATAGCAATGAGTTACAAAATTAGCACATTAATGCCAATTATAAATATAATATCACTCCAGTGGGAAATTCTCCTTTTTATTCAAGAGAATGCATACATGGTGTGAAGACTTCAGCTACTCTGGGCACACAAACATATAATCTCTATTCACAAATAGCTGACAAGGCAAGGAAGAAAAATTTGGCTGAAAAGTCTCAAAATCAACATTCATCCTTAGGGAAGCAAATGTAGAGTTTCTTGCTGTATAGAGTTCTGTCAGTGGAGCTAAAAAGGTTAAATATTTTTAGGCTTTGCACTCCTTAGAGGGTCTAACTTTGGCTCTACATTTTATTTTGTTGGTATAAGTTGCTGGATTGCTTCCTTTCCTCATCTTTTCCCCTTTTTACTCCCTTTCATAAATTGTGCTGTTTGAGATAGTGCTTATCTGTGTGGGAGGTCAGTGTACAGAGAAAGGGGAAGCCTCTATTCTTCAGAGGCTACTGTTGCCTTAGAAAAATTAATTTCCCAGCCAAGGGGAGAATAGGCAATGACTAGGCAATGCATTTTGTCTCTCTTGCTTCTGCTTTTCAAAAATAAACTTTAAAAAGCCAGCAGATAGTTAACAGTCTTGTCATGGAAACCTGAAAGTGGTGGAAGCTGGCAGAATTAATTCCCAAGTATTGTGTGTGTATCGTGCTAGAGGCAGAATATGGTGCCCTGAGCAATGGCAGACTGGCTCTGTGCCACATTCCCATTTTCCACTTTTCTTGGAACTGCTCCTTTGAAGATCTAATTGGATGGTGCCAGGATACTCTGAAAATAGCTCAGCAATAGCTCCCACTGTTGCTGCACCAGATTTTGGTTTATTTGGGGTGCAAAACTTGCACACAAACATTAGGTTGTATCACAGCTATCCACAAGTTTAGGCCAGTGTCCAGAAGATACAGTATTTTTTAGTGTGGATGTTTCTAAACTACTAACTCTCTTTTAGACTTACCTGTGTCTTTCAAAAATATTTATTCACTTGATTCCCCTTGCCTCCTATTTTTTTAAAATCTACTGTTGTGTGAGGTCCGGTGCTGAACCTCTTAACATCTTGCTATAGACTACCCAAGTTAAGTGTCTTTCCAGATATTAAAACAAAATTATTTGACCAATCTGAAATGGAGTGGAATTTGCAGGATGAGAGACCAGGAGAAAGGTGAATTTAGAGAAAGATTTTTAACTGTACTGTCACTGAAGTTTTTCTTTACAATTGATCAAATGACAGAATTTAGAAATAAATGTTTCTGCAGAAGGCTTCGAAGTAGCTACAAATACAAGATAATGAATGCTGCTAGAATGATTTGGGATATGATGTGCTTACTTGCCAGTGTTTTAAATTTTTACTCTGTTAACTGTTCCTGCTAATTCTTTTGATTAAGAAATGAATACTCTGCAACTTTATTACATATTTTAGAATTAGTCTCTAGAAATTAAGTTATTAAAAAGTGGATTTTTTAAGTGAAAATAGTTTTTGCTGCTGTTTTCTACTTGCTTTGTTAGAATAAGTGGCTATAGCTGTAGTAATTAACAGTGGATGTGAGAGGATTCTTGATCTTATGCTTTAAAGACAGAAGGGAAAAGGAAAATGTGTGGGAATGGAGTGGGAATAATATGGGTTAAAAGTATCTGTGGGGGAAAACTGGAATGATGAATTTGGGTACAGGAGTGAGAAGTGGCTTGGTGGAAATTTGTGTACTCGGAGAAAGACAAGATGACGAGATGCACTGTGTAGTACATATTTGAAAGTGTGAGACAGAAAGTCTAGACAAGAAAGTATGTTGTAGGCCTAAAATTAATCAGAGTTAAAAGAGAAGAATATTTCTGTGACAGTGATATCAAGTTCTCAGAAGTGGATAAAGGATGAAACCCCAGTTTTGGAAATTGCCTTGGGTGTGGCTGAGAGCTGAAGTCCAGAAGAGTGGGAAAGCATCCTCCCTCCATCTCCACTTAGCGTAACGAGTCATGACTTTTTTTGTATTTTGCCAGCTGATTTTTCTTATGAAATTTCTCATAATTGCAAAAAGAGAACAACTTACTACGTTGAGGGTTTGGTTTTTTTTTTAATTTAAAATAAATTCTGTAATTTTGAAATGTAATGGGTTTAGCAGAGTTGTATTTGGTAATGCAGATAGCTTTTGGACAGCTTTGAGATCCCTCTGCTCTGCACAAGAGGAGACAAAAAGTTTGGTGTATTTAAATTAGTAGTTTAGTGAATGCAACTGAGGAAAGAAGGTACAGCTGTTCTGTGTTGGGGAGGGACAGGGATGGCACAAAATCAAATAGTTACAAACTGGCTTCACATTAATCTAGCTGGAAACAAAACGTGGTGTTATTGTTGATTGCAGGAGGACAGAAACGGCAAGAAACTGAGCTGCTTCTGTGAGCTGGTGTGTGTTGGACTTGCTTGTAGTAGCAAGGTCTGTGGGTTCAGGATGTCCTTTCTGGTGCTGTTCCAACTGACTTCTTTTTCCTTTAAAACCATTTCATTGGTTGGTTGATTTGTATGACATGACGTGTATTTGAACTGCTGAAAATTAGAAGTATTCTTAATATTTACTGATTATGTAGATAGCTGTATGTATTACTTGAATGCTACTATTAAATACTTAGTGTAATGCTTTTTGTTCATGAGATATGACACCCAATATTAGTGGTAATGTTTTAGTAAATGTAACTCTCTTCAGCACAAATGGACTGCCAAGAAAACTGTCTTTTGTGGTGCAGAAACTGATTATATAATTTTAAAACCATAGCATTAAAATGGGTAATAAAAAAAATCTTGCATTAAGTTTTTTAATGTATGCATTGAAAAGTGTGTGTATATGAACATATGTTGTGTATGTGTAATAATGTATGGCATTTCCTTTCTTAAATTTCCCCAGGTATATGTGGAATTTGATGATCTTGAATGGGAAAAGCGAGAATGGGTTAAAGTTTATGAAGATTTTGCAACCTTCTTGGTGGAGTACCAGCTGGTCTGGGCGAAAAGAAAGGACCCAAGCCAGACTCAGGGATCAAAGATCAAACAAATTCAATGGCCTGCATTGGTAAGATACTTCAACAATTGCATGTACTAAAGGATTTAATTCTCTTTAATTCTGTCCTTAAGAAACTGTCTAAATTACTTCAGTAATTTAGATGATGGGAAGTGGTGAGCATGGAGGGGGAGAAGGGTAAGAAAAGGATAAGAAAAAACTAGTAAAGCATGATTGTGTTGGAGGGGTGGAGTGATGCGATAATAGTCACTCATCTTCGTTTTTGAATCAACCTAAAGCACTGCAAAAGTCGTCTCTGTGCAACATAATAGGATTAATGTCACTTTACATAGTCAAAGCATCTTACAAATATAAACTTAACAGTAACACATCCTAATGCTCTGGGGAGGATTGAAATCCCTTAAGCTTGTGATACCCTCAGCTTCCACAGAGAAGGTATCTGAAATTCAGGTCAGAATTCAGAAAGATAAGAAAGATGAAAGAAGATTAATCAAGTAAGTGGTAACTGTTTGCCTGGTTTATGAGGTGATATTTGTGACTCTATTCTTTCTGGACTGGTGCCCAAGCATTCAAAGCTTTTGAGATATCTGCTAGGAGGCTGTGCGCATTTGTGGCATATCTTTAGATATATCTGATGAGAAAATCTAAAAAGCAATAAAGATGTATGCCTTTTTTCTCCAAAGAAACTAGTAATGCTATCAAAGACTTCAGAAGAGCCAAACAGACGTGAGATTTTGGGAACCTACCATATTGTATGGTTTTGCTTTGTATACAGTTGGGGAACATTCCTCACAGACTGGTGGGTGAAAGGGGACGCCAACAAATTTGTGAAAATGGTGAAGGGAAATCTTAGATATATTTGATTATAAGCTTAATATCTCTAGCTTTACACTATTTTTTTTAGATATTTACAGTCATAATGAATTTAGATTATGCTCTTTTTTTCCTCTGGCTTTTGCCTTATCTGTTTCCTTTCAATATGCTCTTCATATTCTTGTCTCTGGGCATCTGATGGATTTTTTTTGGAATGCTGTGGTGGGATAATTTTTTGAACCTGTGGTGGGAACAGTCATGCTGAAGGTCATGAAGCAATCTGGTCAAAAAAGCCATAGATGATTTGGGATCGACTTACTCCAGTTAATATTCCTACTTGACTCAGCTTGTATGTTTGTGCTAATGTACTTGAGTAAAGCAAGCTAACTTTCTGGATGTACAGGCTGAGTCATATATATGCTTGTACAGACAAGTTAGTATATATCCTTGAGCAAGAATTTTTAGTTTTCGGGAGCCATGTCGTTTGCTCTTTGAAGCCACCCATCTCTCCTTTGTTGAGATGGGTATTTTAAAATCTGATAAAAACTTAGTATCTAAGCACTGTGCTATTTTACATGCTTTTAATCTCACCCTGTAGGATAGATTTCTACAAAATATTCTAGTCTGGCTGCTGATCCTGTCCACAAGTTGATATATATTTGCTAATGTGTGAAAGTGTTTCTGTTAAATCTTTCTCCTAGCAGACTTTTTTTTCAAACTTCTTCTGGTCCAGCAAAATGCAGAAACTTTTATCTTCCATCTCTATTTTATCAATTCCTTTATTTTTCTTAATATTCACATTCTTGAGGCAGCTGATAGGCATGAGAAGGAAGATTTTCAAGAGATCTGCCCCCTGCTTTTACAATTAAAAAACCTGAAATTGTATGGTCTGAAGTGAGGATCAAATAACTTGTCAGGTCATAGTTTTCAGATGTTCAGGATGACAAGTTCTCAGCATTTGTACTTAGCCTGTCTACAGATGTTATAGCAGTTATTTCCTGAATCAAACCCTCTAGTCATCCATTCCAGAAAAAACATAATTGAGGAAAAGTACAGGTACAAGATATTGGCTGTAGTTAGAGCAGATTCCTTCCGCAGAGACCTACCAAGGTTTTGCTCTGTATCCATTGTGACTCTGAGCACATCATGGCATGGGGTACAGTGAGGGTGCTCAAACTAGCATGGAACTTTTGGGTTTTGTTGCCAGACTTTCAAAACCCTGTGGTGGATTACAGTGGATTAGCTCCATGAAGGTTTGTGGTGGTGAGTTTGGGTGGGGGGGGAGGGGGAAGGGGGTTGTTTATTTTCCAAAACAAGACTTAGTAAAAATAAGAAAATATGAAAAAGATGGTAAAAAATTTGATTTGCCAGTAGTAGGAGTATTTTCACTTTTATGTGAAATCCTAAGTGTGGATGTGTTAATATGCACATTTTGAAAAAGCTGAGTCTTGATGTAGCCTTTAAAGGAAAAGTCTCAAGCATTCCCATGCATGTGAATGATATTGAAAAAGAATCATACCAAAATGGAAGTTTCTGGTACAGCTTTATTTTGGATGCTAATGTAAATGCAGCAAATAAATATTTTAGAATATTTTATGTAGTATTTCTCTAGGATGTTTGCCTTCAGTGGAGTGAATGAAAACTGCTTATTTAGATGGTTCTTATCACCTTCTCTTCTTCTTTGATTAATGTACCTTGTATTTACCGTATGGTATTCAAACCTGATCAGAAGAAAAGGTCTGCAATTGCTGTGGGGCTTTCTGTGGGTAGTTATCAGTCTAGTGTCTGAGTACTTCAAAATTTCTGATTGCTTTCATCACTCAGCTGTATGATATGATGTAATCTCCACTTTATGGATGAAATTTCTAGAATGCAAGTTGTTCAGAAATGTTGCTATTTTAAAATGGCTGAGTGCCTGAGGTGTAGCTATTCCTGAAAGCACAGCATCCATTGACCTATACTTTAAAATTTTAGGCTTTAAGATTTATAGTCAGGCTGAGAAAGGGAGGAGATGGGAAGTACTGTCTCTTTCTCCTTGTTTAGAAACTCAGTAACAGGAGAGACTATCACCTGAATTCAGTTGCTCTCATTTGGAGATTATATTTTTTTTAAGTGAAGTTCCTGCTTTAGGTCAAGAGTTGGCTGTAAATGAACCTGGACCCCGATAACAAGCTTCATTGTGATGGCTTTGAATGGATACTTAGGCTACTGGGCAAGGGTGAGAAGGAGGGAGAAACTGTAGTGCCTCAGGTTGTATTCAAGCTGTAATCAAATGCTTTTTCTTCTTGTGAGATTATTTCCTGGGAGCCCTAGAGGACTTGGCTGCCTAGCTGGTATAATTGGAAATCACCCTGCATGTGAGGTGTTTGCAGTCATAGAAGAAAAGACTGTCAAGAAGCCTAAAGAAATGGCAATAGTGATAAGTAATGTCAGTGTATGTGTAGCCTGGATATTGGGGAAGAGGGATGTTTGGTAAACAGTGCTTGTTGTTTTCCTTAAAGTAATAGAGATTTTTTAGAGATGTTAATGCATGAGAAAACTTCTTGGCCAAAGTGTTAGCACAGGGAAAAAATGTATGGATTTAAAAAAAAGTGTAGGTAAGTGGAAGTGAGTGGTGTATGGCCTTCCCACATTAATGGATTTTAGTAAGTAGTCAAGATAAGGTGTTGAAATTGAAGGCATCAGTTTGGGTTGGTTAATAAGGGGGATTCATGTCACAAAGATACAAAAATATGGGAGTGATAGGCTCAAAGTGATGGGTTGGGGGAATACACCAGGACTTCAAAAATGAGGCAGCACTAGGTTTTGAATTTCTCAGAAATAACTTTGCATAAATTGACATTGACATGAACAAAATTTTTTGACCTGTAGGTAGGTAAAGAATTGTTGTATTTTTGGGAGAGTAAATTAATTTACCTATGTAGAAATAGTTTGGATACTATGATGTTGGGGGTTCGGTTTGTTTTTTTTCTTTTTTTGTACTTATGGGGTCTTTTCCCATAAGTTATTAGGAAATTAACTATTGGGTACTTATGAGTACTTCAGAAAAACAAGAGTAGCCAAACTCAGAGGGGAGGGGGATACCTGGAAATTTGAACAGGCAAAAAAAAACACGAACGAGGAGTGGGGGAGCTGCGGGGAGCTCTCGCTTCTGGGTTTCGGAGGAGGACAGGCAAGCTGTTACTTTACTGCGAAGAGAATTCCCTGTCACCGCCGGAGCCCCCATTCGGTACTGCTTCGTCCTTTCTGTGGGTGAGCTTTTGCTCGTAAGAGCAACCATTGGACTGAGACCTTATTACCAGCTACCTCCCTAAACGAGAGACCTATCCTCGTGTGCTCGAGTGCCCGGGATCTTGGGCTCGCCCCTCTCTGCCCTACTGGGAGCCAGGATGCCGCTATCCCGTCCCTGTTGCTCTTCGGAGCTGCTCCGAGCTTTCGCTGCACTGTAGCTACCCTGCCTGCGGAGACATCCCGTGGTTCCAGCCACAGCTCTGGAGTTTCTGATACATCTTGTCTACCACCCTGGGTTTTGTTTTTTTTCCCCTCATTCCTGCCGGCCCAGCTTGCTGTTTCCGTAAGTCCTGCTGGAACACCGGGATAGGCTGCCCCAGGGAGGTTTGTGAAAGAAAGCCTCTGTTCTATCCCTTTCTCATCTCCGCTGAGACACCATTACCACGTGCTCCCCGAACCCGCGCCACAGCGCCCCCTGCAGCCGCAGGGGAATCACCGCACCTACCCTGTCCACAGGGAGTCACCAGCGCCCCTGTCGGCTGTGCCCGGAACTGCATCAAAGGAGAAAGTGCCTGCGGCTAAAACGACTGAGTTCCTGTTGTTTGCTCTTAATACTGTAATTGTTGTTTGTTTTATTATACATACTAGTAAAGAACTGTTATTCCTATCCTCATATCTTTGCCTGAGAGCCTCTTTAATTTTAAAATTATAATAATTCGGAGAGAAGAAGTTGGCATTTTTCATTCCAAGGGATGCTTCTAACCTCCCTAACAGTCATATGTTGTTAGACATATGATGTTAGAGATCAGTGATAAAATCATGCATATGATATAATTCAGTCTGAAGTCTTAGGAATATGGTTGTATCCCCTCAGCCGCTAAGAAGGGAGATGGAAGTAATGTGTGTGGGCAGGGCAACAAATTGGAGCCAAGGTTTTAATATGGACTGAACAGAATGCTTCTGTGAGCTCTCAGTTTGAATTTAATTACTGCTTCTCTAATTGCACA